ATAAAAATTATAATTTTATTACACATATTAACATAATATTAATATTGTACGTATATTATAATTATATATATACAATCAAATACAATAATAAAAAATGCGAATTCAAAAAAAGGAAAAATATAATGAATTTTATTAAAGAACAAAATGTTAAATTTGTGACCTTATAGTCACTCAAGCTTTGATACCATGTAAAAGAACCTTGGGATACACCACCCCAAAAACTAGCTCAAAGGATGAGAGTGTCCAAAACCTTATAAACTTCACATTAGTTGTAGATACAACTAATGTGAGACTATATATTTTAACAAGTGGTGTCAAAATCGTGTTAACTGGATAGGCAATTAAGAGTGTCCATTGCATTACTAAAAAAAATACAAATTAAAATAATTGATCATCAAAACAGATTTTAAAACTACTTTAATCTTCTAAACGGGTACGTAACCACTTATACCCTTGATGTAAACAACCTATTGGGAAGTCACTTCAATTTTGTAAATTTACTTAGTATCATCGGGTTGCTTGATGTAACGAGCAAGTGTACAGTAACATAAAAGAATTTTCTTTAAATAAACTAATACTTCTGTTTTTGGAACTTGTCCTGCGTAGATTATTTGTACAACTGATGAGAAGAAGAAAGATAACAACGAAATTAGGCTTTGGATGATGATGGACACATGTTAATGATGCCATCGAGTACATTGAGCGAAAATGGTCACTTCTCTATAAGCATTAAAAAAACATATACAACATTTATGTCCTTCTATATAGTTTCTTTAATAATAATTTGAATAATCCATTTGGAACACGAAACTTTAAGATCACCCTCAAAATCATTTTCTTCAATGCACACACTAACTACATATACAAATAAGAGACCATAAATTATGCTTATATCCTCCATTATAAGCATGTCTATCACTTCCTTAAATGAACCATTTTATCGTTGATTTAGCTTAAGGGTCTAACATGGGTATGTGTACATCATGCTTTAAGGATAACCCCTCTGGTTTTCGTATTCGTGTGGTTTAGGCAAGCTATCCGTAAATAAAATAAGCTAATACACCTCCCAAGCAATCTCTTCCTATAAATATTGAATGGGAAAACAAAAAAGTAAAATAAAAGAAGATAAGGTTAGGTAATGGGTTGCTTTCATCAAAGTAATAATAATAACGATACTATTCAAGTTTCAACAAAATAACTTTGATTTATTTGTTTCGGCTAACGAAGTTTAATTTAAGATAACAAAATATAATTTAATAAATTTTTAGCGAAAAGTTTATAATAATACTTAAAAAAAATTTATCAATGAAAGACAATTAATAAGATTTAAGTTCAAAACTGTTTAATCGACATACTTTAATATTACCTGTTGAGTCAATTAATTCGTTTTTAATTAGTTATTCACTCATAAATAATAAAAGAAAAATCAGTTTATCATATTATAGGAATGACACAGTTTTATCATATAACATGATCTGGTTTCATATCGACACACACTTAATTTATGTGTGTAGGTAAAATATTCTTATATTATTAAAAAATATATATATATATTCTTATAATGTAAAGTGACAAAAAATGAATCCATAAAAAAAAGGTAAAGTAAATTATCACCAGAACAAGTGAGAGTAGAAGGGGCCCCACAGTTTTTCTTATAATTGTTCTGACAACTTTGTGATTAGCCCTACCCACTTTATAAGTAAATAATGGGTTAAATAACTTTTTCAAATTCTAGAATATTACCTTGTAGGGAATGTATAATAAGTTTGCACAGCACAACTGATTACGTAGGCCCACCGCAATGATTGTATGTAATTTTATGACTACGGTACATGTACAGAGGAAAATATTAGTTATATTGTATTTTTGTTGAAAGGCTTTTTCTTTCTTTAAGTTACATAACTCAAAATCTATACAATAATTTGATGAATGCATTACCTTTTTTTCCTGGATAAATGGAAACGTTACATTTGTTTGAAGTAACAAAAAATAAAATAAAAAATCAGCAAAGATAGCAAAGAAAGGGGGTGGGGTTTCGTTAATGCCCAATTTGTTGACATCTTATTAAGAGTTAAAGACTAGCATACTCGCCCTGCTTCCATCCGTTCCGTTGCAACTCGTTCTCAAACAAATTATAGACACTAACTAAGCAAAATCATGTCACTCAAAGGAAAACAATTTATCGTCAGTTTATAAGTAATGAATATTTAAAAAAAAATCTTAAAAGAAATTATTTGTACTGACTTGACTGATTATCTCTCACAAAACAAGTGGAAAAGTTATGACTATGATAACTTCAAGAAGAAAAATTATATAAAGACATTTATTTACATGCACATATATAAAGTATAGTTACATTCCGAGCCTATATTTTATACTTAGTTTAAAGTTGTAAAACTATACAAGTTAATTTTTCCATAAATTTAGAGACAAATATGATGTAATAAAACATTCAAAAGATAACGGTGTTTAGAGAAAAAAAATAAGTAAAGGCAGATTAACAATATAAAATTAATATATACTTGAATATACAATTATCCTTGTTCAAAAAATTACAATATTTACATATATAATATGCATTGTAGAATTAACTACTAAAAAAAAACTTTTTTAGTGAGAGAATTGTTATGAAATTTTCATCGCAAATTTTATCTTCACATTTATTTTTCGTCATAAATTCTCTCGCAAACAAGATTTAAGACGAAATTTATTACGAAAATTAAATTAGCCAAGAAATTTTACGAGGAAAATTTTATTAAAATTTTGTCATTAAATAGATTTTTTCTAATTGTCATCCTTCCAAAAATTTAGGGGTAACCACCACGGTTCGAGAATTCATATATCCCAAAGTTTATTTATTATATTTTTCTATTTTGAATTTCGAGTTATACCATAAATCTTAAACTTTAAATAAAGATACATATCGATAAAAATTAATATTTATTTGTTACTAAATCGACCACAAATAATTCTTCCCTTTTATCAGAAGTAGAATAAATTATTTACAATCTCTTCTCACCCTTTTCCATCCTCGCGAGTCGAAGTGTTTGAAGAGGTAGTCCTCTGGATACAATCTCCATGACCCAAGACGAGAGTATGAATTTGAGAAGAAGAAAAAAATCAGAAGTGTCAAAGTCTGATCAGTGGTCAGAACTGAGAAGTGAAAACTGAGAAGAGAGTGGTGACATGTGAGAGTATAATCAGTCTGAGGCATATAAAATTTAGAAAAGCACCAAATTTGTTAAGAAGCCAACACAGACAAATATATATATATGTGTATGTTCACTTGTTCAGTGTTCACTATTTTCAACCTTCCCAACCGTCACTACGAAATGCAATGCCTCTCACGTGTCATGCATTCCAAGGCCCTTTAAAGGTACCTTCCCCTCAGACTCGGAAAGAGGATAAATATGTTAAATTACTAGTTACTGCCCCTCAGTCACAGTCAAATTAACTGCTCACACACACTTTCTCACTTTTCTTTTTTTTACTGTGGGCCCCTCAGTTTCATGATCTCCTGCCACGTTTTGTTTTTTACCAGCTCGGGAATAAATTCACCACACCACGTTCTAGCTACTTGTTGTTTTTGTACTATCCAAATAAAATTAATGAAAAAGTTGACCAATATTTTTGTGGTTTATTTTAGAATTATTTATGTTCTTATAATTTTTTTTATCACATATGTCCCTGTGGTTTGTAAAAAGGTATATTTTTTATCATATATATCCGAGTGGTTTCTTATTTTTTACAAAGCACAGGAGCATATGTGATAGAAAAGACCACAGGAGCCTAAATAATTCTGAACACAAAAGCGTGAACTTTTCACTAAAATTAATAAAGCTAGACATTAGGCAATGCTTGCATAGATTTAATGTCAATTTCTTTTCCGGGATTTTGGAAAGGATATCGTAAAGTAAAGATTTTTTATTTATAGGCTTTATACCTCTCCATTAATAACAGAGGTTGAAATTTTGGGCAAAGACATACAGAGCTCATATTTTTTTAAAATAAAAAAAAATTAAAACACACAATTTGATAAGTCTATAATAAAAAAGTTATATTTCTGCGGTGTAAAAATAATTTCGCTTTTTTCTACTTTTTATTTATTAATCGAAGTATTTTCGGAAAATATTTTATTGTTTTTTCTTTGTTCGCTCTTGATCTTCACGGATTTCCTGTTTCTGTTTATTTCGAGATGGCACGAATCTTTCGTTCTTCTGCATCGTATGCTGACGTAACCAATACCACCGCCCTCTTCCCTAGTTCCTTGCTTTCTATAATGAAAATGAGAAAATACATAAATAAGGATTTTATTGATTAATCTGATTTCATGAAAAGATGCGAAAATTTTAAGAAAGAGAAGTTGCATCCCTCTTTGTCTCCTTTCAAGCGACCGAAAACGTTGCAAGTAGTAACTCCTCTCGAAGAAATCAACCCAACAGCAAATGATATAACACAGTAACACACCACATTAATATTGAGTTTATAAAAAAAAAGGACAAAATAAGGTGTTATATAAAAAAAATTCTCATAGCACAACACTTAAATACATTACAAAAACCAAGCAGAGAATTGGTTATTTATTTATTAATATATATATTTATCTTTATAATATAATAACGAGAGAAAAGTCTCTCCAGTGCTTCAATGTAATGCATTCATTCTAAGATACTACGAACTTTTCTTTTCTTTTGTTCTTAACCTCAAATAAATATTGTACTTTCCTTTTACATTTAATGTGTATTCAATCTGGTTAGTTTATAGACTTGATTCTTAAATAAATATCACTCTAAAGAGTTTAAAGGTTATTTTTTATTTAAAATAAGAGTAAATTAAAAATAAAATTATAATAAAATTTTCAATTCAGTACAAAAATATTTTAGACAAACACGCTTTTAAGAGAGAAAATTTTAATTTAAAATATCCAACAATTTTTTTTTCCACAAAATCACTTTACAGAATGACAACATAGACTTAGATTTTTGCAAATATTTACTTCTTTTTTTCAGCTATTTTATTACATTGATTGACCATATATCCAGTTGCTTCTTACAGAGTCCCCTCCCAAAGGAAAAACGGAAGACGAAGAAGGGATACCAAAAAAAAAAAAAAAAAAAAAATCGAAAAAAGCCTTACTCTTATCCAAATATTTTGGTTATATTTTTTACTTAAAACGATTTAAAGAAAAAGTTAAAAAAAGAAAGTGCAAAATTTCTTCTATGGTTTGTCCTTGAGAAGAGAGGCTAATCCGGTGACCACCTTCGCTCCTCTCTCAACACTCCTCACTTTCACCGCCGGCGGCTGCCACGTAGGCGTCCCCACCGCCGGCAAGCTCTTTTCATCACCGGTAACAGCCCCCAGCACCGGTGACGAGGTCTTCTCGCCGAAGATCAGTTCCAACTCACCACAATCGCTCTCCACCGAAGCACCGTCGCCGTCGCTCAGTTTCTCCGGCGTGCCATGCACGGTGGTGGAGGAGGAAGGCGGCGGATTCGCTCTGGTGCAGGAACTGGACAGCCACTTAGCTAGCATGTAATCTGCCTTCCTCCACGGCGGAACGTGCATCCCTTTCTTCTTCAAGCTCTGTTTCGCCGACTCCGATACGGCGGCGACGATCTGACAAAGACGATCTGATTTCCCGACGAAAATGCAAGGCAGATACTGAAGGATCGCCTTATACGTCCCCGTCGATCGAGCTACCTCGAACTCTGATCGGAAATCGATATCAATTATCAATCTCTCACCTTCCACAACCACATCGATGTATTCATATTCACCTGAATCAAAACCAGAACATTCAATTTTTTTCTAAAATGAACTTCAATTTTGAATTGAAAAACAACGATAATTTTTTCAGTGGAAAGCAAAATTATAAGGGGGGAAAAAAAGAGTACCGGCGGGGTAAGATAGAGTTTTGTCCCATTTGGATTTGCAAATGGAAGAATCGTAGCCGAGAGACGAAAGACTTTCCGTGACAATCTTTCTCAAATCGTCTTTTCGTTTGTAGACCTTACTGTTCTTGTCAACGATCTTCGATGTGTCAGCTAAGAGGTTTCTCTCGGCAACACTTGCACAAGGAATCAAGCTCTGCACGAAAAAGAAAGCACGGAAATGGAGTTTTAGGATGCTGCGAGAAACAGCGAGAAAAATCGAAAACCCTGAACTAGCTAGCTAAGCTTGAGAACGGTGAGGTTTTCGCAAATTCAGTTAGTTAAGTTACCTTGAGAGCGTCGCCAGCGTCGCCGAAGGAGCCAGAGGATATTGATTCGCCAAAGACGTCGAGTTCCTCGTCAGAGCTGTCGTTGCTGTTGCCATTAAAGCAGTTGCAGCGGTTGCGACCGTACTTCGCGGCCGGTGGCTGCTTCTCGTTACTCTCTTCGATAAAACTCTGCACCATTTTGGCCAAGCAAACCGAGCTTGGCTCGAACTCCGTTGTTGTTCCAGCTCCGTCTTTGTTGTTGGAGTGAGGAGCATCGCCGGAGACAGGTTTCTCCGATGAGGAGGAGGAAGTTTTCAACACGCTTGGAAACTGCCGGTCGAATATGAACAGCCTTTTCAGCCTCGACTTTAACACCGGCTTGACGACGTCGTTTCGAACCACCGCCGTCGCTTCATTAAGCTTCGGTGAATCGATGTCGATTGGTTGGATCTTCATCGGAGGCATGATTAATAAAAAGAGAACAAAAAGAAAATAAATCGCAAGAGCAAAAATTCTCGAGAAAAACGTTTCTCTTTGTAACAACTACTCTATCATCTATGTTCCATTTTCAGAGATGAAGCATCGAATAACTTCTAGGCTAAGCGAGGAGAGAAGAAGAGGGAGGTAAAAAACGTTTCGAGGTCAAGGTTCCCGTGGAAAACGTAACGGGGATGATCGGAGAGACAGGCATTGTTAATAGACAGGAAAGACAGCTTCGCCGGAATTATCATTTCCCCGGCGAGTTCACCGTCGTCAGTGGCGGTTTACGGTTGAGGAAGATAAATAGTTTCAGGAGCTTTTCTTTTTCTTTTTCTTTTTAATCTTCGTTCTGTGTTTAAGCGTTTTGGATTAGGTGTGAAGAGTGGGAGGGATGAGAATTTATAGAGAAGATGCTGAGTTGCTGACATGGGCCTTAGTTGCCACGTATGATCCTACGTGGCATGGATGATTTGGGACCGAAGGGAATCACGGAGCGTTAGGATTGGTGACGCGTGTGGGGGAACATTATCGTGCGCTATACGCATTGGGTTTTTGTCAGGAGGAATTTACAGTGTTGCCCTTGCCACTAACGTGGAATATCGGGTAGATGCCCCTCGTGTTCTGGGGTTATCGAAAACCACCCACACTGTGCAGAGTGATCGTGGTGATTGTGCATTACGACTACGTGCTTTTTTAAAGAAAATAAATAATTGTTATTTTTGAAATTTTAAATTGCAAAAGGAGAAAATTTGAAACCTGTGATGTGAGACGAGAGATGTTGATTTTCCTTGTATTTCCCAAAAAAAAAAAAAAAAGAGATGGTGATTTTTTGTGAGGTGTGTACGAAGACTATGCCGTTAGGTTGTTATGAACCAGAGGCTTTGGACACGTTTAGGGTAGATCAAGTGTGTAAAATAATTCGTGATAATATTTTCTCATTTTAATTTATTTAAACAAAATTTAACAATATATATGTATCACAGTTAAAAGTTATTGTAAACATAAATATATAATATGTATTCAATTCCAAATATATTAAATAAATTTTTATAATAAAATATTATTTATTTTTTAATAAATACATTGGACAGATAAATACAAAGATCGGAAATAAAAAATAAAAAATTCTGCCCAGCTATATATAGAAAAATTTGATGTAACTTTCCTGTGTGTATTTGGACGCAATTTGAGTATACTGCTCATTGTCCTCCTGTCGTTATAATTTTTTTTAGAGTAAATATCCTTTTTAGTCTCTGGCAATATCTACGAAGTCCTTTTCAGTCCCTGGCAATAAAAAAGGACCAAATTGGTCCCTGAAAGTACAAGAAAAGAGTCACTCTACATATTTGGGAGTTGACATAAGGACTAACATGGCCCTTTTTTTGTAATTTCAGGGACCAATTTGGTCCTTTTTTATTGCCAGGGACTAAAAAGAACTTCGTAGATATTGACGGGGACTAAAAATGGTGTTTACTCTCTTTTTTATTAAATATCGTCTTTCCCCAATTCATATTAGTTTTTTCTACTTTATGTATTTGATGATTTTTAGATTAAAAATATTTCGGTTTCTAAAAATATATGCAATATTATATTAATTTTTTATTTATCGGTAACATTAAATTTATTTTTTAGTGAATTATATATATTCGTTCCAGTCTTCAAGGATAAATTTAATATTAATTTAAGAATCAATTTTTTAAAAATAAAATATGACATTAAAAATATGATTTGATGTTGCATATATTAAAGTTTTAATTTTGACTAATTTAATATTGATTATATTTTTAGAGGATTGAATTTTGTTTACTGAAATATTAATGATCTAAACTAATACAAACTTGTTTCATTCTCCATTTTTTTTTTAAATTATATCACGATACAAAACTCACACAGGGAGAATAGTTTATAAAATAATTATTTATGAAGAGTTTGTCTTCAGTGTATATAAAAGAATAAAATTTCAATATGATAAGCAATCTTAATGAAATGGGAAAAACTTATACACACAAACTTATTTCTTTTCTTTTTTTGTAAATAACACAAACTTATTTCAACATACGGAAACATTGTATTCTTTTTATAGTTTATAATTTGTTAGTGTGTCATAAAATTCCCTTGAAGTTGTCATTAAGTCAAATTAATGTTAATATGCTAAATCATCTTAATGAAATGGTAAAAGCATATGCATAAAAAAAACATATGCATAAAAACATTTTTAATATGCAGACACCATTTTTATATATTTTATAATTTGTTAGAGCATCATTATACTAAAAAATATATAAATATAATATTTTAAGTAAATCTTACTCTTATTTTAATAATGATTTCAACTAAAAATTCAGCCATTAATCTTTTTCTTCTTCTAGTTTCTCATCTCAAATCATATATAACAATTATATTTTTTCAATTTTTGGAACCCATAAGTTCCATGGGTAACAATAACAGCAACGTAAAAGAAACCACAAGAAGATATAGATTCCTTAAAGGTTACAGTAATTTTTTACGGAAAACTTTGTCTTGCTCCTTACGAAAGTGGAGAGAGGCATGAATTAATGGACAAATCTTAGAGACACAGTGCAGTAACTTGGAATTAAAGCCGTTGAGTATTGAGAACAATTACAATGGCGTGCACTGCATAGAAATATTAGTTTATTTAACCCAAAGACAAAGCATAACAGGCAACAAACACAAAGGTTGCATTATCTACAATAAAAAAAAAAAGAAAAAAGTGTGTATCATTTTAAAGGAGATAAAGTTGTATCATTTTAATTTAGAGAAAAAAATAGATTATAAAAAAGAGAAAGTAGACAAAAAAAATTAAAAGTGTGGGTCTCACTTTTTTGTGAAAGTGAAATGACACAAGTTACGTCATTTAAAAGAACAAATATTTTTCCCATAAAAAAAGGTTGCATTATCTATAATGATAATCAAGCACCTTGTATAAAGGTTAACTTTGATTTTCACTGTCAATAGTTTCTCTTTAATAGAAGATCTATAACTAGCCTTGTAAGTTCTTGTAGAGGGCTTGTTTGGGAGTGAATTTTAAGAGGAAAAGGAAAGAAAATAAAGGATTTTATTAACTCCTTCCTTTGTTTGTAAGTTTAAAAAAATAAATAATTTTTTTTACAAAATCCTTCAAAATTCTTCTTGTTCTTAAAATTAAAGTTCTTTCATTTTGAGCCGTTTTTAACTCCCAATCAAGAGGAGGGAATATCCTCTATTTTCCTTCCATTCCTTCCCATTTCTTTCCCTTGGATCCCCTCCCCTCCAAACTCCCAGACAAAGCCTAAAATATTTTGTCCATTTCGACTAACTTTTTATATCTAATAGTAAATCAAGTTTTAGAAGTGTATCTAATTATCTTGAGAATAAATTGTCTCATGTATCATTTAATGAAATCAAGTTGTCAAATGATTTTAGTCATCCAAAAATAAATCAACCATGGCAACAAACAAAAGAGAGGGAGCGCGTTAGAATAGAGCGTGAGAAAAAGAAGAAAAAAACCCATCAATTTATCTCTACCCATCAATTTATCTCTAAGGTGGCATTTGGTAGGAGAAAAAAAAATTCACTCGAGAATAATGATTCCTATAAATATGGAGGAAAAATAAATTTTTTGCGAATTACCAAAAAATTGTTTGGTACACCAAAATATTACTGAGAATATTGGCCCAATATTACTAAGTCTATATTTTGTTAATTGTCAAATATTGCCAGGAATGTTAGGTGTATTTACAAAACTAACCCAACATTTGTCAACGACGTGATCCACAAAGATAAAGCTTCCCAGTTCCCATCAAACTTCACTTTTCTTTTCTCTTCCCTTCTCCCTTACGTTTCAACCTTGAATTCCCTATGGTTTTGTTTTTACCCTTTCAGATTAGCATATGCAGAAACAGAATAGGTAGCTATAGCTAGGAAACTTTGTCTGAAGATAAAGATTGAATCTTTTTCTTTGAGTTAGAGCATGGAGAACATGAAGATCAAGAAATATTATATCTTTTCACAAAAAGGGTGTCCTGATTCATGGCCAGGTTCAGAAGATGAAGCGAGAATATGGTGTACTATCTTTCTCTCTAAAGATTTTGTGAATAGCAGGGGAGGTTAATTTTGTCGATATATTCGTGTCACTATTTTGTGGTTTCCCAAGAAATTGAAAATACCACCACACGGGTGGTATTTTTCGGTGGTAATCTGATATATAAAATACACATAAAAGCGAATCTCGGGAAAATTGCTTTCCTGGAAAAATTTTTCAAAATGGGCTACCAAACATGGACTTCTTAAAAGCTCATCCTCACTTTCCTAGGTATCAAAAAATAATCCCCCTACCAAACACCGCATAAATGATTGATATTAATCATGTTACTTAGACATGTTGGGCGTGCGCAGCGAAAATAAGAAAGAATGCAGAAGAGAGAGATAAAGGAGAATACGTCAAATTTTTAACGTGGAATGCCTTCCTCAACGTGGAGAAGTAAAAACCACGAGACACTGGTTCAGAAAATCTTCCACTATGTCGAAAGAAAGATTACAAAGAGTCAAGTTTCCCTAGTCTTTCACTAAAGGTACAATCAAGCATAACCAACAATGGTGGTATTCAAACTTTCCTAAATAGGTCACACTCAAACTTCTCTCAAAGGGTATTCTCACTAAATCCCTTTTTAAATCTCCAACTCATTACAAGTGAATTCAAGGGATTTTTCTAAGGTGAGAGGACCTTCACATTCTTCCATGATCTTCTTCAATCAATATGGTAGGTAACATTTATTGTAGGTGGCTGGAGTTCTTGAGCCCTGCACCAATAATTATGGTGCATGTCACAACTAACAACATTAATGGAAGAACCTTCCCAACAAATAAGCATATATTGGAGGTATTTGGAGTCTTGAGTCTTGCACCCATAAAATAAGGTGCATGCTAGCATTAATGGAGGAACACCAGCCAACAAATCTCCCCCATCGGACATTAATGAGTCAAGTTCAGCAGCATCCCGGTACCTTCACAACAGTCTTCAAATTTACTATATGGTACTAGGTTGGTTATCTTGTCTAACTGATTTAGATCGGTGTGCACTTTGACGAGTTTGAGTTATCCATCTTCCACCATATCACGGACTTAGTGATACCTTGTAGAAGGTAGTTTCACTCATGTAGAGTGTCTTGATTGAGCTCCGTTGAGAGAATTTTCAGACATGGAGCATACATCTGTATGAACGAGGTAAAGAACATACATGAGTAGTTTAGGTTGATTCAGTCTCACAAACGAAACCCAGTGTTGCTTTCTAGTTAGGTAATATCTGCAACTCTCCAACATTTGGCCTTTCAACCCGATCAGTAATTCTTTCTTGT